AATGGGCGTAATTTTAGTAAGTAACAATCTCGTTGTTCGATGTAAAAGATCTTTTGAATAATACCGTAGTGCATTTTGTTATGATGTTGGTAAACTACGTACGAATCTGAAAACGTTTTCGATTTGGAGCTATTTTCTGTTGATAATGATAAATGCTGACATACAACTAGAAGAATAAAATATAAAAATGATAGATTTGCTGTTCTATAATCATATTTGGTTAGTAATGTGCGATTATGAAGCATAGTACCGGTGCAAAAAATTCTCTGGAGCAGATGTGTTATAAATCGATCGTGAAAGCTTTAGCATTTGTGAGGTTTTGAATAGCTGCTAAAACCAGTTTACGTAAAAAGAATAGTAACGATAGAGACAACAACACTCAAAATTACAAAATATTAGCTGGAACCGTGTTTGTCTCTATTGTCAACGTAGTTCTTATTTAGAGCGATTCTAGTCGTTTATTTAAATCCGCATAAATGATTGGAACTTTGCGATTTTATCCATAGTTTGTTATTTTTGGCTATATAGGCCTTACTCGATTTCATTGATTTTATTGTGTACTCCTTTGGAAATGATTTGTATAATAAATCCAAGTCATCTTCAGAAACATTTTCGGTTGATATTCGTTGCTTAGGATGTTGTTTGTTTTTCGTATCTAAATATTTTATAAATGTCGAAAGATATGATGATGAACAATGATCTGTAGATGCGAAGTAAGCTTCTTTAAACAATTGAAGATTTATTATTAATTCGCTACCAACTCGTTTAGTACCATGAATGGATGCTGATAGGTATCCTGTGCAAAAGCGAATAAAAAAGGATTTCATGAAAAATAGAACCTGGATGGAACCATACCAATAACACTTTCATAATTGAAGGTGCTGTAATTGAACAAAGGACCAAAGTCGTTCACTGTTTTTGCAAAATGTTTTACTGAATGAATATTTTGCACAATATATCGTTCGTGATAAGGAAAATTATCAACAAAGCTAGATAATAATAATTCCATATCATTTAAATTTTTTGACGAGATATTTCTCGACTCTCCAATAGTAATACCAAATGCTAGCATTTTTAAATGATTATAATACACTTCGGGCAAATACTTTTTAAAAATCGGATATCCGATTAATAGTAAAACTCGAGATTCATTAGCTTTTAACTTGAAGCACTTGCTTAAATTTCGTGGTGCTCTTGTTGTTGTGCTAGGATAACGTATATTTGCAAGATCAATAGTTATCAATGGAAGAAAACTCGATATTGACCATGGTTGCTTTTTTGATGATTCTAACCATAATTTCAACAATCTCTTCTATTTTAATACATAATATATAACAACCTTTTTTTAAAATCTTTCACTACGTACGAAGGCACCATGATATATTGTATGCAATGTATCGCACATAAACGATATACCACGATCAACGAAGGCTAAATTAGTAAATTCACATTCACCCAGATAACCATACGAATGTATTTTCTTATCACAACATATAAACTGATGACCATTTTGAAGAGCATGGCTGATTTCATGCCATCGTGCATTTGATCGCATTTGCGGTCTGTCGTTTGCTGGCGTTGGAAAAATCCGAACATATGTGGTTGTTATTCTCTTTGACGTTGTTGGTGTTGCATGGATTTTAGCTGCTGTTGTATATCCTAAAAAGAAAAGAAAAGAGCACTATTTCATATTTATTTAGTAAAAGACAATAATAGAAAATGACCAGCAATTTCACATTTAGAACAGCCATAAAGTGCATTTGGCTCCGGTTGATTTTGTACGAGACTATTGGCAGGTTTGTCATTACTTATTCCAATAAGATAAACACGTAACATTTCACATGAGTTGACGGAGACTTGATATAATTTCGGTTTTTGTAATTCTTTAAGGCGTAAGACTATCGGAGAAAGCATTTTTTGCATGATAACTCGTGATGGCTTTTTCCGACCTACACTAATAGCCAGTACTAAAATGAAGTGAAAAATTTCAAAGAGGTATATTTTAAAAAATGACTTTTTACCAATAATATTTTCCATAGAAAAACGAATCGTTCGTTTAAGTTCATTTATACAAGCTGTGAAAGTCCACATACTTTGTTCACTACTTGTATAAACTGCTACGCCATCAATATTGCATGTTAATGATATAAAATTCGGTTGACGCTCATTCTTCAACGAATATAGAATATTTTTGTACACATTCCCATCCTGAATATCATTCATTGATTCTTCAGAAGCTCTGCACCTTGTCTCTGGTAGATGAAGATCATTTTGGTTAATTGATCTTAAAACTTGTTGAATTTGTTGTTGAATATTCATTATCATAAACGTGTGAGGTGCTACTAATGTGTTTGTACTATATGAGCAATATGAATCAGTACATTTATTCGGATTATTTGATTCATTATTGCACTCTGGACAAAAATATAGTGTTAAATCAATCATTTTCTCTTTTTCTTTTGGCTTTTTATTCGATCTACTAATAATTTGTTTTAATTTGTGCCAGGATGATGGAACATGCGGCACTTTCAGTAATGTTAAAAGTTTTAATAAATCGATTACGAGGTTGTTTGTGCACTTATGTCTCTTTTTGATCATCAATAAAACTACTGAAATATCCTACAAAAGAACATAATCTCAAGAAAATGTACATATAGTGATAGATTTCGAACTCCAATGAATTAAGATCGAGTAGAAAGTGATAGTCATTTACTCGAATTTTATTACTTACTAGGTCATCATAATCACGAATTGGTATTGATGAACTTTCCATATTAAAAAATTCCTTACCGAATTTTACCTGTTTTTCACTTAAGTCACTTTCAATATCTTCGTCTTCCTCAGAATCTTCTTCGTTTTCATTTTCATCATCATCGGTTACGTCCTTGTTGTCAGCATCGGCAAAATACTCGTTATCAAAATCAATATCCAAATCTGTATTATCAAAATCATCAGCATGTTCATCATTTGTGTTTTCATTAATTGACAAATAAGCAAATACGTCATCTATTTTCAGATCTGTTAATGCACCGTGACTACACTTTTGTTCTTGCAATCTCTTCACATTGGCTTTATTCCGCATCCTCTTGGTTGATATTTCATATTTATGATTTGACCAATGTACGCGATTTTTCCTTTTAACTGTTTCATTTTTTTTTGTAAAATTTATTCGTGGTCTCATCTAAACAAGAAGACAATGAACTTGGTATTAACAAAAATACATGGAAAAAATATCGAGTTTATTGTGTATTTCAAACAGGCATGAGGAAGTTTTATTTCTGTCGCTTATCATGAAGTAACGAGTGTGATGGGTTTCGTGAAACAAAATGTTCTCTCGAGATCACGATTGTGTCAAACAGAACTGCAACTCCTAAATAATCAACACAACTCGACAGAAATAAATCAAGGCTTATGTAAAAACGATTTTATACTTTAAAAATTCACTTTAACTTTTGAAAGATACCGCGGTTACAATC